CGACCTACCAAACAACCAACCAACCCACCGGTCAACCAACCAACCAACCAACCAGCCAACCAACCAACCAACCAACCAACCAACCCACCAACCAACCAACCAACCAACCAACCCACCAACCAACCAACCAACCAACCAACCCACCAACCAACCACCCAACCAACCCGACCAACCAACCAACTAACCAGCCATCCAGCCAACTGCTCGACGCGAGCCCTGCTCCCTTAAGATAGTCACCCTTTTTTTAAATAATTATTATAATTATTGCTATCGTATGTGTGTATATTGTTGTTGCTTTCTCAAAGCTTGAATGCAGGGAGAAACTGGGTAGGTAGGGAAAGGACACAGGAGGAGGGGGTAGCGTAGGATCAATCTTACCCAGATCAATGACCCTTGCTGATGAAGCCTATTCTCCTCTCCCTCCTTCGCTGCCCTCTCTCCTCCTCGCTTTTGTTTTCTTTTCCTACTCCTTCGCCCTTTCCCACTATCTCATTCCAACTCCTAATGACTCCTACCAACTTCCCAAATTCAGTCGTCTTACTGCCCAGATTTCCTTTGTCTGCGCCCACCTTTTCCCATCCCCTTCAAAACGAAATGTAGTGTCTCGCATACTGAGCAACCTCCCCCTGGAATCCTCCTACTAGCGTGAGTAAAGTTGGACGCTCGTTTTCCTTTAGATTTTGTATTCCCCAAAACCCAAATGCTCAATTGCCACGACTTCAAATGTCGTTTATATGAGAACTCAACCAAGTATTCGCGACGTTTGCTTCCCCCCAATCAAGCTATATCACGTACGCTCTGCTACGTTGGTTTAGCCTCCATGGTATTGTCGCCTTTTATGATTCCGATCGCCTTGGAAACAATGCGTACAAATGCTCAATCGTTACAGTTTTGATTTTCGATTTCCTTATGTGTGCATACTCGATCAAGGATAGACAACATTCGCGTCACCCTTTAGTCGTTTAGCCACTGTATAATCCTCAATGTTTTTAATTCCAATCGTAGTGCCGCCAATATAGACTCTCAATTTACTCCACTCCCCGTTCGTAATCGTATTAACATTGCTATGTTTGCCTATGTATTCGATCAATCCCTCCATTGAATGATGATGACATTTGTGGTCCCACTCAAAATGGTGGTGAGAGCGGTGTCACGCGCGGCAGTGCCGCGCCCTGATGGGGAACGCTGAACCTCACGGTCGTGTCACGCAGGATTTATTGTCTGAAAAGAACCAGTCACCACTCCGACCGTGCGCGCGTGCTATACCTCTCACGACACCCTACGACAGGTCGGGACGTGGCGAGGTACAACTTACCTTTACCCAAGGGGCTATCACCACCCTTAGGTAGGCGTATCCCTGCTGAGCTACGGACCCACATGCGAAGGTTTTTACATGCCTTTGTAGAGGTAGGTCGGCCGAGGGCGTTTTCTCGATCGTTGTAGCATGACACGGGGTACGCGCGGTAAGACGCCTAGAACTGACCCTTTAGATATTCAGGTCAAACTTTTAAAATACCATTTATTTCCGCTTCTCCTTCCAAAACATATTTTTCTTCTAACCACTACGATCAAAGTACCAATCAAACCTTTTCACTACCAAGGGCATTCTATTTTACTTAACATATGACTAAACGTCAGATAGTATAGAAGATATACATAGGACTGATAATGAATATGGAGGTATTACCGCTGGGAACCCTTCCCACTTTCACAAGTGCAATGTGTCCAAGACTCTTCAACAGATCAGGTCCAGTTCAATCCAAACCCACGAACAAAACAGACCTGCACAGAATAATGCAAAAACAATCCACATGCCATGCACTAACGGCGTCAACCATCAACCATTGACCTTGTCCCTCACTTCCCAAACCATGTATGACAACCTAATCTTTCATGAGACGTAAGCCCAGCCCCCTCACATTTCTTCGAAGGACCCTTGAGAGTGACTAGGACCATTCAAGCAATGACCACGGGTGACAGTTTTACTGACCACAGGGTTTGACTTTAGAGGTGGGTATCAAGTCAAAGGGAAAAAGTTGAATCGGTAACAATCGACCTGTTATCGAGAGATAAGAGATAACAGAAATTTGGGTCCTTTTTGTAGAACCTTTTTCCTTGAGACGCAGTAGATAGTCAGGGACCTGCACACACACAGGTCAACAAAGATTCAACACCCCCACTTGATTTCCCACAWACTGATATCTAAGGGTCAAGCCCTTAGACATGGGTAGTGAGCTCTGGGATCGACATCCCAGGTCTAATCCCTAGTTTTACTCTCACAACCCTACCCTAAGCCGTCTGTCACTCTTTCCTTTCACTCAAGGAGTCTCATGCCTGTGTCCTAAGTCGTCCTMAGGAAACTCATATTTCCCCTTATCTTAGTCCTTGCATTTTCTTTCTTGGGGATAAGCGCACCGTTTGGCGCTTATGTAGATGAGATATAACTCATTCATCGTTGTGGCCTTCCATCCGAGAGCCATGGACGACTATGGACTACGCGGTGGTTCTTAAGCTTCTTTCTCCCGCGGTCCTAACTCTCTTATCTTTGTTCCTTTTCCAGGTTCTTGAGACCTTGCTCCAACAGGAGCATTGTTCCTTCCTTTCTCTTCTATTTGTGTTAACATACTCAAGTAGTAGGYTGATTCAGACRTGAATCTCTTGCTACTTGATCAATACCAAGYAATCTGTTAATCAAAGAGACAGTCGAGTAAGTCACACATGAGTATTTGATCCCCCTTTTTARCCCCACTTAATGTATACATATGATCTAATCAGAGTAGCAGGATAGCTCACACATGAGCATCCTTCCTTCATCAAATAGTTGAGGCTCCTACAGAAGCACCCTACTACTTGCTTTAGGTATTCCTTTTGAAAGATCTGGATGTCAACCCCCTCTCCAAAGGTTATTAACGGTCTGAATGACTAATAAGCAACCCGCACAAGAGCCCCCTACTATCACATGATAAGGTCCACTTCATGAGTGCATTAGGATAGTCCTAACAAGGGTATCATGTTGCCCTTCCGAAGCTGACCGACCTGAGACCAGGTTAGCTGAGACAGAAAACAAGTGTTTAAGGTATTCCTACAGGAGTACCCCCTCCTCGTAAGTTAGTATCAGAATCAAGTAGGTAATAGGCAGACCCCAACAAGGGCCCCCCTACTACTTCCTTGAGTAATGAGTAGTCCATCCGTTAAAAAAGTTATAGGATGACTCCTACGGAAGCCTCCCCATTACCGGTCTGGTGGTCGGACTACCAGAGGGTAAGTAAGATAGGAAAGAAGTAGCAATGTGATTTCCTACTCTTTGCAGGTTGTTAGCCAGCCTTAGACTCAAGCGCGTGAATAGGATGACCCTCCCTGGAGCCCCCTACTACACCTTGAATAAGTGCAAAAACCAAATCTTCCTGAGCCGTTAATAAGAAAAGAAGTAAGTACCAAAATCCCCTGAGTTCACTTTTCACAATCAAGCAGATCCTAGTTAATCAACTTGAAGGTGGTGAGGTAGCACACACAGGAGTACCGCCACCTTCTGATTATGCCAGTCGTCCCAGCCGAGTGATCGAGATCGAATTTGACGAAGTCAATTAGTTGATGAAATTTCATAGACACCCATCCAGATTCTCTTGATCCTTTACCAAAGGATGCCTCCTTACCCTGTTGTTTGACTCGGATAGACTTCTTTCCTATGCTAGAGTAATAAAAGCAGATCCAATCTAGAGCCCTGATAATAGAACTGTGAGGGAGTTTTGTGAACATTTCTTTAATGTCGTAACTAGCTGCTAATAACAAGCCTTTGTTAGTCTTACCTGATCTGTGGTTCAGAGATAGGATCCTATCCTTCAGCAAGTTAGTTGCTTTAAGGTTGAAGTTCGAGGCTCGGGGAACATTCCATAGTAAGAAGTTTACTGCCCTGGAAACTAATTTGCAAGCTCTTAGGCTGGGTTCAGAGAAGGAAGGAGTAATCGGCCGCCATCTAGATATGTCTTTGTGCTTGGGTATACCGTAACAGCGTCCTAATCTTCCTTTGGGATTCCAGCGGGCTGTACGATCTGCTCTGATGCTGTCGTAGGCTTCTTTACAAAGCTCAAGGACACGCTCTTCGCTAAGTGAAATTATGGCAAATCCATTGCTCTTCCAATATAGTTTTGCAAGCGCTTCATGACATATACTCATGTAGCATGCCAATGAGTCGTCGGCGTTATGGTCTATAGGGGCAACGACCAAACCGTCTAGCTTTTCCATCCATTCATCCAATCTTATAGAAAGGTCTGTCGGTGTATCGTAATCAGATTTAAAACATTGTCTAAGTTCATAATAAACAGAGGTTCCATCTTCAGGTATCCTATGGAGGCCTAATCGTAGGGCATACTTTATCCGAGAGAGATGAACACGTGATGAACGGGACATAATATTTTTTTTTTTTGAGTTCCGTAGCAGTGCGGGCATTCCCTGTATATCGGAAAAACGAACTTCTACATGGCCATTGCTGTTTCTTGAAAAATCGGCAGGGCAACAACTGCAAGTGCAGAACTCAGAAGAAGTGGCGGCAGAGGCACGATGGTTATGGATGCGCTCACCGATACTCCTATTTTTTGACCACACAAAACACAAACGGGAAATAATAAAATCTGCAAGAAAGTCAGATTTACACCTCTTTCTGATTATCCGTTTTGCCGCATCGGTAACTTTTTCTTTTACGATCTGAGTGCTGAACTGAATTTTAATCACGACAGGAGTGGTGCAATTAAAACCAACTTTTCTTCTAATTATATTTCCAATGATACTACGCAACACAGACCGTGTGTGTTTCGATTCAAAATATTATATAGCGTTAAACAATCTTACCAATGCCCTATCTTCGAAGGAATGCAACAACGATCGCGAAACAGGAAATTGCAGGAGAGACAACAAGACAAGTTTGCGTGTAGTATGCTGATTCTTACTCATCCGTATCTGCAGAAGGGTGAAGTTACCTCCTTCACAAAATTGTTGCTTCAGATCTTTTAAAAGGCATTTAGAGTCCTTAAAATCAACAATCCGAATAGTTTACTTAGTTTGCCCCAACCATCAAGGAAAAAACCTCCACCGCTTGTTGTCAGAGCAGCGTAGTGCAGATTGTTAGCAAGACACTCTTTCAGGCTCTCAATGAGACCATAACTACGAATTGCATCAGACTTAATAGTCGAGGATCCAGCTGAGAAAGACCACTCAATCAGCCGCTGATCACGAACAGCCGGCATGGTCCGATCAAATTTTTTATGGTAAGCGTTCCTTTCCCTGCGACCTTTCCTTCGACAAGCCTTTTTCTTTCTGTTCATCCTAGTGTTGAGACAAGGGGAGAGTCGTGAGATGAGCGAAGATGCAGTTAGCCGAAGATCAGATTCGGAAGGATAGAAAAGTGGAATGGCTACGTAAGATTCCCACCCAGTTCGTTCCAGCCATCTTTTTAATTTATGATTTCTGCCCTTTGTGTTGGAGTTCGCCATTCTGACGTGTTCCTTCCATCGGTCCGTAATACCTCGGCCAGTCGAACCTATGTACGTAGCCTTGAACCAAGGTGAAATTAGGACGTAAACACAACACCCTTCTCCCGAACAAATAACGTGACCACGCTGCACCGAATCTACCCAATTATCTATAAATTCACGACCCCACTTAATGCCACCAACAGCGATTAGCATAAGCACGAAGAATCTCATTGAAACCTCTAAACGAGAACTCTGACCACCTCTCATGCCGCACCTTTTTCTGTTGTCACGGGTGTTGCAGACTTGCTGCCATAACCACCTTTTGTCCCAGAAGGATATCAGGAGGGGTTCTCTTCTTGCTGATCGAACCCTGTCCCGTTGAGGAGTTCCTCGTCATCGTCCTCCTCCGTGTCACCATAAGCGTCACACGTGCGGAGTATGGCAAGTTCATGAACTGCCTGTTTCTTATTGATGTACTTGATATTGTCCTTTCGGCACAGCACCTCGAGATCGGCCTTGTACTCCATCAACTCATTCTTCATGTCGGCAAGGTACTGTTTCCTTCCTTCCTTGCCTGTCGAAGCGACGACGGCTTTCTTCCCGTCCCGGACTCTGTCAAATCCCAAGCTGGAAGATCGAACTGCAGACAACGAACCAGATACTCGTCTGGAATGCCCAGCCACAGAGGCAAATACTTCAGCCAGCCTCCTCGTGGGTCTGCTTGAAGACGGGGTGTCATTGGTACCTCCTGCCAGGCCATCCTCTTGACGGCTGTGTGCTGCAGTGTTGAGACCATGTGCACGGGTTTGGGGTCTAGAGGGGGGTGGTGGTGGCGGAGGTTGGGTGGGGTTGGCAGAAGCATTACGTGAAACCGGGGGAGATGGTGGAGGGGGAGAAGGTGGAGGGGGTGGGGGTGGAGGTGGGGGAGGAGGAGGAGGTGAAGAGGATCGTGGATGGTTTGGAGCGTTTCCCCGTGCAGATCCGTGAGGGGGAGGAGGAGGAGGGGGAGGTGAATCATCGCGTGGGGGAGGGTTGGACCTGTTTCCATCGGCGTGGTGGGATGGAGCAGGAAACTGGGTGGAGCGATTGATCTGCGGAGTAGGAGCAGGATGAGTCGTCTGGACAGGCTGCACCGGAGGATGGGAAGAGGAGGAGGGAGGAGGTGGGTGATGATGTCGAGGAAGGGGATGAGAGGTGGTATGAGAGGGAGGAGGAGGAGGAGGAGGAGGCTGTGATAGATGTGGAAGTTGGGAAGAAGAAGAAGGAAACACCGAACCGAGTTTTTCGATAGCCGATACCATCCGCTGTAGAATAGACTCCTGATTGCGCTGGAACGAGTCCTTGTCACGTTTCAGCATGTTGAAGTTCACGAGGAGGAGTCCTGCATCCAGTGGTCCGATCGTAGCATCGGAAAGCGTTTTTTGCCGACCAGCATCAGGTTGCAAGGGGGAACTACCTTGCAGGACCTCCTGTCCTCGTTTCTTCACCTCGCCCTCACAAATCCTGAGGCTCCCATCCCTGGCCTTTAGTTTTTCTTCTCCCTTTTTATCCTCGTAGCTGGCCTTATCCTTTCCCTTAGTTGGATCCCTCTTGAGTCCTGCCTCTTCATCCTTCTTTTTCTCCATTGCGGCATACTGTTCCGCGAACAGTTTCGCCATTCGTTCTTCTCTCTCAATCTCTTTTCTCTCCTCATCCTCACGCCTCTGTTTTTCTTCTTCTTTAGCCCTAGCTTCATGCTCCTCTTTCGCCTCTCTCCTCCAACTCTCTTCGTCGTTCTCTCTTTTCCCTGTCACTGTTCACAAGCTCTCTCAAAAGCAGTGCTATCTCACCAGGGTTATTTCTACTGTTCCACCCTCCACTACCTCCAAACTGAGTGCTGGGTCCTCGGGGTTGGAACGGCACAATCGCATTCGATGCAGACGGCGCCAGAGATGGCGATCTTGACCTTGCAGGGACAGCGGGATTGGACGGTGCGATGATGACTGCCTGAGGAGCTGGGAGAGGCGGAGCGCTACGAGCATATTGAGGATTAATCACCGGCGGTCTTCTGATCGGTGTGCCGGAGATGATACCGTCGCCACGTCCTAGAAGAGGACACTTGGCAATGAAGTGGCCATACTGCTTGCAGTAATGGCAGCATCCGTATGGTGTCGTATTATCGGCCATCTTCGTCTTAACGCCTCAGATTGGAGAACAGTGCCACTGATCGTGAATACGAGTACGTTAGAGGTAGATCTACTCGCTGACTGAAAGGAAGGGAAGTAAAGAAGAAGAGAAGAAAAGAAAAGAAGAAAAGAAGTAAAGAAGAAAAGAAGAAAAGAAGAAAAGAAAAAGAAAAGAAAAGGAAAGAAAAGAAGAGAAGAGAAAAAGAAAAGAAAAGAAAGAGGAGCGAGAAAAGAGAAGAGAAGAGAAGAGAAGAGAAAGGAGAGCGGGAAAGGAGAAGGACAGCGGGAAAAGAGAACGGGAAAGAGAGAGGGTGGGTAGGGAGGTCACTTCGTTTTGACTGTAGTACCCTCGCCAGATGCTAATGAAGATCGAACGGTTCCACCAATCCACGAGACAGCGTAGTGGTTAAATTGCTATTAGGTGATTGTAATGGGTGAGCACATAGTACTAATCCAAAGACAATCGTATAGCAGGCAGCGAAGCCTCTGTTGAAACATGTGACTAACTGACGAAGAGGAAGAGGGGAAGGAGGGAAGAGATCAAAGGAAGGAAGAAGAAAAGCACAAAGGAGGAAAAGGAGGAAGGAGGAAGGAGGAAAGAGGGAGGAGGAGAGGAGTGACAGCAAGAAGTTAGGAGAGAGTAGAGAGGAGAAAGGAGAGTAGCACACACGAGATCGACCCCTTACGATTTCCATCGCGGACGTCCCTACGCCGCGTTTCGGCTGCTTCCGCATGCAGCCATCGTCAGGGGACTTATGATGCGCTTGGGGTTAATGGAGACTTACCTTCTTTATATACCTTAAACAACTAGCGAAGCCTGTCCCACCACCGTAAGTCCAGTAGTGGTGTTTTGCTTCTGATGCCCTGTTCGTTTTGCCCCGAATTCCCAAGTACCATAGCGGACTGTTTCTTGAGAACCGTACATATCCCATCCAGACGAATCTTGTCTGGTCGATCTGCATATCGCCAGAACGCCATGTCTGTCGTGAAGAGTAATCAGGCGGGAGAGGGAAGGTCACACAAGAAGACAATCTGAACCTAGGATCTTGAGTGGTTTGGGGGAGGGGAGGAAGGATAGGAAGGTGGTGGGAAGCTAGGATAATCATTCTCATCAGGCGGTCAGAATCCTGACTGAAGAGGCAATCCCACCTCTGGGAGGAGGGACGGAACACTTGTAGCAGAGAGATTGAGAATGGGTGACTTTCCTAGTTAAGGTGGTAGAAAAAGTAATGAGCCTGTTTTTAAAAGTAAGGATTGTAGCAATGGGACCCTGGACCCGGTTTCCAGCACAGGGGTCATTGAAACTCATTCTTTTTGCCACTATTAAATCTTCATAATGTAAGGGACGCTAGACCCGGTTTCCAGCAGGTGCAGCTCCCCACCAATAGATGGAGCACTTGAAAAAAAAAAAAAAAAAAAAAAAAGAAAAGAAAAGAAAAGAAGAGAAAAGAATCCCAACAAATGATCATATAAGCAATTAAGAGTCCAGTCTCAAGCGCTCAACAGCGCTAACCCAAGTAACCAGTGTCTTCACTCAGGTAAGTATCCCTCTCAATGCTCTTCTCTCCTCCTCTCTCAGTCTTCTCTCTGTCCACTGCCTCCCTGTGCCTTCTCTCCCTACTTGTATGCACTCACACACCTTCTACTACTCAAGGGCCAACTCTGAGTACACCCACTGCTAACTCTACTAACCCCTCTGATGTCTACTACTAACTACTAGCACTGGTGCAGATATGGCTGCCTTCCCTCTGCAGCGCTGGGCAGCTATCGCTGCTTCCTCTCTCTCCCTCTACTAGCGCAGCTCCCTGGCTCAGCGCTCCGCCCCTCACAATAGCGCACAAGTGCACCATCACTTCCACACTTCATCCGAATGAGCCATCTGAGGAGGCTGGCCAGTCCTTATATTGCCTTGGACCAAACTCCAACTCGTGCCAGCCTCTGCTTCTTGGGGCATGACTTGGTTCCGGTACCACATCCCCACGGCCTGTTTGCTTTCGATGTCAGGGCCTGGTACCTTTTCCGAATTTTCATTGGTGTGCTGCTGCTTGGGGCTTTGAGTCACAACTTTTAGATTGTGGCACATGGCTTTTGACTGTGGTTTGTGACTCCTGCCTGTGAAGTGTCCTTTGCCCGTGGGATGTGACTTTCCAATATGACTTTTCATTATTAGACGTGATTTTACCCTGAGATGTGATTGTTTGCCGGGTGCCTGTTGGACTTGACTGCCAAGGTACCCAACTGTGACTTTTCCGAAACTGATCGACTTGGCTTTTCTCGGCCCAGGCCTCTGACACTGAAACTCGAATTTGGGGTCTGAATCGTGGAAGGCCTTTCAGATGTATCTGGTCTCCAGCGAAGTCCAAGGGGTTCCAGTGTTTTAAGAACGCCGGACCCTCAGGAGCAGCAAATTTGGACAAGTTTTCGGACAAAAAAATTGGTTTCAATTCCGTTCAAAAAATGAAAAATGTCCATTTTGACGAAATTGCAGTTCAAGTATATTACCCCGCTAAGTTTACCATCTAAGAACTACCCTACCTTGGACAGGAAACCAGCCTTAAATCTACTGACCAATACTAGGCTATCCTAAAGTTATGGGTCCACACGCCTATCTAACTCAGCTTTGTGCGGGGAGCAGTACCCAAGCTCCTAACACCTGGCAAGGGCTGGAAAGGATGGCTCAACTTCCACAACCAGCCAGGAGAGACAAGCCGACTTTGTGGGTTGGTGAACCCGAAGTACGCCACACAGGGGGTCGTAAGGAATTGAATGGATGTCGTGGGGAATCCAACCCACGACCTCCTGTGTACCACGTACGTGCTCAACCAACTGAGCTAGGCCGATTGGCACCCAATGCCTTCTTGTTCTTTTTTTTTCTTTTTTTTCCCTTAAAAAAAAAAAAAAACAGAACCTGGTTCTGGCTCCTTTTCCATTCTGGGGAGCATCAGTTCGGTTCCTATTCCACCGAAAAGTCAAAAGGTAATACATATGGGACTCACACACTCTCTTCCCCTTTACGGTAGGAAAGCCCAAGGGACGGCATTGATTACTTCCTGCCAGAAGGATGTACCTCCCCTCACCCCTGCCTAAGTTATCCCGGACTACTCTACTATTTTATCGGATTTGGTTGCTGTGTTCCTTATTGTGAAACTGGAGACTTTCCCTCTAGTTTACACCTTTTTCGGTCTGTACCCCCTATGGACTGGAAGACAGCATTTTGAGACTGTGATCTGAAAAGGGTGGTTTGTGTCTAAGTGGAGGCCTGGGCTTGTGGGATTTGGGCTGGTCTGGTTAGGGGCTTAGGTGTTGGTCTGGGGCGATGGGTCCAGAGCTCAGGACGCCTGGTCTCTGGGCGAGGGGAAGGTGTTTGCTGGGGTGTGTATTTATGAGTGTGTTGGTTCCCGTTTACCTGAGGATCTGGTTCCTCGTGTGTGGGGGGGGGTGTTTCTGAGGTTGAGGTGTTTGGGTGGAGGGAGGCTTTGGCGGGGTGGGGGTAGAAGGCGGTGTGAGAGAGGGGCTATGTGAGGTGGATGTGGTGGTTGCTGGAGGGATTGTAAGGGGTGGGTGGTGGGTGTTTAATTAGGGTTAGTTGGAGGTGGGGTTAGTGGTTATATTAGGAGGGTGGGATTGAAGTATTGCATGAAGGGGGGAGGATTATCCAGTTTTTGAGGGTTAAGAGTGTTGTCTTTGATTGTGCCTAGTTGTCCTGATCCTAGTTTTAGTGACGTGATTTTTTTTATTATTTCAGCTTTCTTGGCCGGTGTATTGCGTATTTGTTTTTGGGTTTTTTTCCAATGGACGTGTAATTCTGTTTCTATTATATGTCTTATAGTGATGACAGCATTGACAGGGTTCTCGAGGTTGGTGGGGTGGTCCTCAAAGGTTTTGTCGCATCTTCTTTTCCACAGTCCCCAAAGGATTCCTTTCCTGATCAGGGAGAAGAAGAAAGCTTCAAAGCCTTTGAGAGGGGGGTTTTGTTCCACTTCAAGGATAATTGTGCCGGGGCTTATTGTGATTGACGTACTAGAGAGGATGCTCCAAGCGTACTCTATTTCGTGCCAGAGTTTTCTGGCCTCCGAACAATCTAAGAAGCAGTGATTTAGTGTTTCTGGGGTCTGTAGATTGCATACTTTACGCCAAGAGTACGCTTGATTTAGTGTTTCTGGGGTCTGTAGATTGCATGCTTTACGCCAAGAGTACGCTTGATTTAGTGTTTCAGTGATTTAGTGTTTCTGGCGTCTGTAGCCAATGCCTTTTTTTATTTTTTTGTTTTAGTTTTTTTAAGACTGTCACCGCCTCTATTCCGTCCGGCCAGCCTTCCTCCAAATACGCCAGACTTTGTTGTTCATGCGCTCTCTTCCTCCCCTGTGCTGCTTGATCACAATGCGCTCTCTTCCTCCACTGCACTGCTTGGTCAAATGGGATCACAACTCCAGAGACTCTCAGCTTTCTCTCTGAAACTCATGCTTGCCGGTAACAAGCACCCGGACTGCTGCCCCCCAGAATAGAAGGGGCTTGAGTGTGTGGACAAAAAAAAAGAAAAAAAAACAGAAATGCAGGGTCTGTTCTGGTTCATGGCCAAGTACTGGTCGATGTCCAGGGGGGTCGGAAGGCGGCCTCCTGGGCGCATTTCGTGTCCCTGTGGAGGGCAGTTATGCCTGTGAAAGTACGACGCCCCTGAAGCAAAGAGGAGGTATTGCAACAGCCGCTGTTTTGCAAGGGAAGCCGTGGACACTCACGACGACCGACACGAGATGGGGGGCCTGGCTGGAAAAAGGACTCTGGCAGGTGAAGCATATCTGGCATGAGGACCAGAACCGCTGGAAAATGTACCTGGAACTCAGGGTGCTGCTCCCCGGCTGTCACAATCTTCAGGCCAACTACAACGCGATGCTGTTGTCCATCCCGCCTGAATGAACGGACATGCTACAGTGGCCCTTCCAGTGGGAGCAGGGAGATTGGGCCACTATCCGAGGGGAGAACCCCCCGACAGCAGCCCTGACGTACACTGCTCGGGCATCGCTGGCTGGAGAATGGTTACTCTTTATTAGAGTCTTTAATATGCATGACACTTGCACACCTGGAGTGATGGCTAGCCTGCTGCATAAAATTAGTATTGCTCAGGTGATGGTGAGGCAGGATCACCTCCGCAAGGTCAGGGTTATAGAGGACGCAGAGATGCTGACCTATAACCCCTTGACCGAGCTGAGGGGCATCGAGGTAGACAAAAAAAGAATGGGCCTGGAAGCTGCACCAGCGGTTGGGCGGGCCTGCGCGGCATGTCAACCTTTTGCAGTACACCACCAAGTTGGGTTATGCCCTGAGAAATGACCCTTCCCCCCTGGCAGATATCATCGCCGCCAGATGGAAGAAGTAAATGGGCATACGCATGCAGCATGCAATGGCTGATCGCCCACGTTGCCCTCCCCATCAGACAATAGCTCAGCAAGCGCAGGGCTGAACAAAGCAGGACGACCCTGGGTGACCTGTGCTTAGGCGAAAACAATGCGCGCTCTTGCGCCTCATGTCACCATGAGGATTGGACCATATCATCACAATTGGTAGTTTCCGTGCGTCTGGCGTATGGCCTCTGAGGATCGATAGAGACGCTTCGTCTAGCGAGCCTGCTGATTTACTCTATCCACTCGAGTGGCCTTTCTGCCGTATTTCTCGGTAGTGTATGTAAGAATTGCGAGTGTCGTGTGCGGCACTGGCCAGGCGGAGGATATGACTCACTGCCTACTCACCTGCCCTGAGGCGGAGTGGCTGTGGAGCACGGTGACAGCCTGGTGGCAGGCCCTTACGGGTGCCCCCTTCCCCACCAGGGAGCCCCATATCCTCCTCCCTACGCAGGAGAGCATGGGGTGTGAGATGTACCAGCAGATGTTGTTCCAAAGAGTGCTCCCATTGACCCTGTGGACCATCCGGAAAAGGCAATGTACGGCGACTTTGCAAGAAAACGGCAGCCTGTGCAGCAGGCGTGGGATCACTTCCTGGCCCTGGTGGAGGTTGAGTATTGGGAGGACTGGAGGACGGCCAAACAACAGATGGTGAGGTGGCCGGACAGAGCAGCTCAGATTCGGCAGCAATTTGTCGCTCAACGGCTTGGGAACGGTAGACTAGGCACCCTACGAGGGAACACGCTTTGCCTGGTAAGGTCGGCATGGAGAGCACCAGCAAGGGGACGACAGTTATGACACGCCCGAGTAGTCACACAAATACAGCAGCGCTTCTGCGTAAGTTAGAATTGAAGAGGAGAAAGTTCCTGGTATGTCCCTCCCTTGTCTGCTTGTGCTGGGTGCCTCCTCGCATCGATCGTGGCTTCTTCTGCCCTGAACTGCAACTGGACTGGGAGTGGACATGTGGTGACTGCATAACTACTGATTGCTAGAGACTTCTATTGTTCCTCGGCCTTATCTTACTGGACCTCTATTTTGTCTCCTATAGTACCTTGCGGAAAATACTAATTGTGGCCCTATGATAACAAAAGAAAATGGGGCGCGGTACAGCAGTATCACGGGGGAGGTTTGCTGAGGTCCGTAAATCCTTTCAAAAGGCTCTTGAATTACAATTCCATAGCTGGCAACCTGTTCGCAAGCTGAGAGGATCCAGAAAAACAATGTTTAGAACAGCAAAAGAGAGGTTTTTCTTATATTTCAGAGGGACGCCATAGAGAACATGCTGGACCATTGCTGGTTGAAGCAGAGGTTAATCCTTCCACACAGTGGAAGCCATCAATGCTGCTATCTCAGGTTATCTCGACCATAACTGAGGGAAGCATAGTGTCAGGACGACAAACGTCAGGGACATTGGACCGGGTTTCCAGCCATAATTGAAGGGTGGTTTTGTGAAAAACGGGAAAAAGGAAAAACTTAACGGGTAGTATGGAAGAGGAGGTGCCGGCAAACCATTGAACGGACGCCAATGGCCAAAAGAGAGCTCGAGGAGGAGCTAAGATGGTTGTTGGCAACTGAGGACATGGGAGAAGAGGACCGGTTGTGGAAGAAATAAGAGGAAACCCAGACACGGCCAAGGAATTGCAGTACAACTTCGTACACAATGCTTTGGGAAAAGGGAAGGCAGCAAGGATTGAACAGGAGGGAACAGAATTTACTTTGTGAACAATAGAGAGTGACCCAAACCATGTGCAGACAGGATAAGCTAGAAGCACACTGGCCTTATCAAGCTTCAGTATGAGAATGCTGTGAATGAAGTGCAGAGAAACGGCACACAAGAGAAAGCCACAGCCTAAACCCCTGGGAAGGCGGGGAGAGGGGGACAAGAAGAAGACGGGACAACAGTAAATCTCGCACCTTTCCGAGGCATCGTAGTTTCAATTGTCTTTTCAGGCAGCCAACAGTTGTGGGCTGAGAGACATTCTTCGGACTGTTTTTTATGGAACGTTCCTAAGGGTCTGGAGACAATTTACGGGCTTCACTGACAGTTAATCGTTCTGAAGGAAGCAATCAATGATGCCAGATTTTCCCAGGCTAAAACGTGGCCCGTGGGGAACCATTAAGAGTTGGGTAACTGTGCTTTTTCTGACTTGCAGTGGAACAGGAACCGAACTGATGCTCCCCAGAAGAAAAAAAAAAAAAAGAAATAAAGAAAACAAGTGTTAAGAATCTTAAGATAGAGCTAAGCTGGTACACCCATAAACTGTTGAAATAGAGAGACCCAAGCTCGAATCCAGATGCAACCAGATGAACAGAACAAAATAATTCTGAATTACCTGAGGCTGGTCAGTTCCATGATTACATTTCAAGGCCGTCGCCCTTTATAAGAGGAAAAAAAGAGGGGGATTAAGAAAAGACAGGAAAAAGGAAGGAAAAAAGAAAGAGTTAAAATCAACCCCTTTAATCCCCCCCAAACACCCCTGTGAAAGGGTTCACGCTGCAGACATCCCCAGTTCCGGTCCCAGGGTCCCAAAATGAGCCAGTCCCAGACGGTCTCGGTCCCAGGCTGTCCCACTAGGGTAGGTCGTAGGGTCCATAGGCTGAAGCGTCGTAGGTTGGTAGGTGTAAATGTCACAGGTTGGTAAAGTCAGTCTGGTTCCCGACAAGGAAAGTCCAGTCCAGTCCAGTACAGTCCCAAGTCTGCAGCATGTCCCAGGAAAGTCCGGAAGCCGACAAAATGATTGCAGCAGACGGACAGCGGCCGACCGGTACCATGAAGCAGGCCAGGCCAAGTCCCGCTCTATATTTGGCTGCTACAGTGCAGCGGCTCATCACTTGTTCAATTGCAAGATGCGGAAGTGCTGATGCTGCTTGTGCGTTAAGCCACCAGTACATCTGGAGAATTCGAATGAGCCACTCCAAAAAGTTACGAGACTTGGGGCAAGGCCCGTGTGGGGGCTGGGGAAATTTTATTTTGTTCAGGTCTGGGACTAGTGCCACCCCACGGCATGGGACAATTTTTTTTTCTACTGGCCACCTCGGATCCCCTGCTCAGAGCCTCATAGATTTTAGGAGAGGCTCAATCGGATTCTCAACTTGGCTGGGGCCATGGACTGGTGGTTTAAACCACCAGTACATGCCTCACATCGGCCGCCGGGCCGTGTCAGAGGCTGAAAAGTGACGCCGGGCACCGATTTCTCTTATCGACGGTGAGCCGACGCTGACTTTTCCGGATGGGCGACCAGTTTCTTTTCAGCAAGGCTGGGGCCGTGTACTGGCAGTTTAAGGCAACTTGGGCACTTCACGCCTGAAGGAGGAAGGGGGCGCTTGGAAGTTACTCCATAGCCAGGGTAGAGGGAGATAGGAAGGACGGCGGCTATAGCCACCAAGTAGGAACTTACCTGAATGGATGTATCCAGGGTTCCTATCTAGGTTAGAGACAGGGAGTGAGGCAGAGCGAGCCAAGCCAGAGAGAAGAGCGAAATTGCAGAGAGGGAGAGAGAGAGAAGCCATAGCCGCCATCCGGTTAAGATCAGTTCTGAGTGTGTGTGTGAGGCAGAGCCGCTGGTGACATAAACATTTCTTTGTATAATAGATAATTTTGGTGACGGCTTCCACATGTGTTGATTCTATCTCAGCTTCAGCTTCTCATGTGTGAACTCTCGTATGAATGTTCATTGATGTATTCAAGGTGAAACTTGATGAGAACTGGGTACATTTCACCTGAGTGACCCATCACCAAATTCGAAGGTAAGACTCGTTTCTCAAGGCTCAGTGACGTGCAGTGTTAGGAAAAGGTCGGGCATCACCGCTTGAGCAGTGATTGGCAGAAGGTTGATGTGATCGCTGTTGCAGCTTTGCTATGAGAAAGATGCATAAACTGCAATATTAAAGCCTACGCATCTTTTATCAAATATGTGACTGTGTCTAGCGTCCTGTTTTTTGTCCACATTTTTACCTTCACGGAACATGGAACCTGAGAAGAGCTGCAGACATATGGCTGCATTTCAAGAGACAAAAGGAAAGAAGAAGCAATACATGATTGCTCACCTCGACAGATAGCACCAAGAAAGGCTCCGGACCATCACTTCCCGGGAGTGAAATGAACGATGGCGATTCTGGATTCACTAAGGGCCAAACCTCCTTCCAGCTATTGAACGTGTAGGGTGCCTCCTTTCCACTTAGAGTTTCTTTATATACTTCGGGACTCTTCCCTGCAGCATCCCCTTTGGCACTCATTTGCATCCCCTCTAGGCTCTCGATATTGCTATTTTGTGAGTCACCACCCTGCTCTCCCATCCTGCTCCCTGATTTCGTGGTTCCAGATTGTCTCCTGTCTTCCGATTTTGAGCTCCGATGTGATAGACCAGAACGCCTCTTCTGCTTCCCTTCTGCTGGTTCCTGGTTGGCAACACTTTCATCTCCACTTTGATGATTTACAGCAACAACCTCTTGGGAGGAGTGATGTGCAGACTGACCCTCTTCGCCACTGGTACTGCCATTCGAGGGTTCTGCTGCTGCTGAATCCTTAGCCCGCAGTTTATCAGGCAGCATAGACTGTTTCTTGCTTTTGCGATCTGAAGGGAAGCTGCTACTCTCTGTTGTGACCTTCCGAATGTCATCTTCCTTATCCTCGGTAGAAATCACTTTTAGGTCTGTATCGCCCCCGTCCTGAAATGACACCCTATTACTTCCACTGCTGCGTGTCTGCATCGCCTTGCCAGTGTCAGTTTCATCCTCAAAATCTGGTGACACAGAAGCAGTGGATGATCGTTGCACCTCAAGCCCTGATGTTCTTTTACTGACCTTCCTTTCCTGATCAGTAACTTTGGGTTCCCTGAAGCATCTCCGACGTATAGCTTTAAGCCGTCCTCCTTGCACCTCCACCCGCAGGCAGACCAAAATGTGACCTTCTTCTGTAAACTTCATTGAATTTTCCAAAATATTTGCAAGCACCTAGAGCACGAAAAATCCGAAAACGCATGTTTGACGATTTGAGCATCCATGGCGTTAAGAGGCTCATTGTTGTTATGATAGGATACTGGCTGACAGAGCTTTGCTTACAGAGTAAAGATGGGATGTGGGAAGAGGAGGCAGGGGTCCAGCTTGGATTAGCCCAGTTGGTAGGGCTCCTGTTTCCGGCACATGTTGCTCCCCACCTTATGCATCAGAGTTGAAATAAAAACTAGTAAAATGAAAGGATTTCACGCTGCAGACCCCTGAAAGTTGGTCACATATCTCCGCAACTCCAGGAAGGTCCGAAGTCCTCAGTCCCAGCGTCGCGTAGGGTAGGTCTGATAGGCCAGTAAATTGCCATAGGTCTGGTCGGCCAGCGAACCGTCATAGGCCCAGAAAACATCCCGAAGAGTCAGGGTGGAGTTAAGGGTCTGGTACCCACGGAAAAGTCCAGAGGGCTGAGTTGTTGTACAGCCTGTCCGCCACCCCACTGAAAAATCCAGAAAGTCCAAGTCCATTCCCAGAGTCCACAAAAATTGCAGCAAGTCCCAGGAAATCCCGGAAGATTCCGGACCGACAAAATGATTGCCACAGACAGGCCACGGCTGACCGGTACCGGTCCAGCCTGAGACAAGCCAAGCCATGCCAAATTCCTATATTTAGCTGTTACAGTGCAGCAACGGGACACGGTTGTTCATTCGTGAAGTTGCGGAAGCGCTGCTGCTGCTTGTGTGACCAAGCGACTTGGGCAAAATCGCGCTCGAAGACAAAGGGCGCGCCGAAGGCAACCATAGCTAGGGTAGTGATTGGGAAGCAGGGCGGCCATAGCCGCCAAGGTTGGAGTCTGATCTGAGCGGGTGTATCCAGGTCACGATCCTAGGAAGAGAGAGGGACTGTGAGGTTGAGTGATACAAGGCTTGAGAGAGAGAGAGAGAGAGAGAGAGAGAGAGAGAGAGAGAGAGAGAGAGAGAGAGAGAGAGAGAGAGAGAGAGAGAGAGAGAGAGAGAG